AAGACAGTGTTAACTGTAAACCAGTGTGTCTCACTCCCTTACCAAACGGGACTTAATTTGTGTAAAGTATGCTTTGGCCTCCTTTGTTTTTTTTTTTATTCTATATTTTTTTATTTTTTTCTGAGATGAAGTTTCGCTCTTGTTCCCCAGGCTGGAGTGCAATGGTGGGATCTCGGCTCACTACAACCTCCACCTCCCGGGTTCAAGCAATTCTCCTGCCTCAGCCTCCTAGGATTACAGGCGTGTGCCACCACGCTCAGCTAATTTTTATATTTTTAGAAGAGACGGGGTTTCGCCATGTTGGCCAGGCTGGTGTCGAACTCCTGACCTCCGGTGATCCGCCTACCTCAGCCTCCCAAAGTGCTGGGATTACAGGCGTGAGCTACCGCGCCTGGTCGGCCTCCTTTAAAAGTTAAAAGTGTTTCTCTTTCCCGTATACTGAAAAAATTAACATCCTGATTATCATAGTTACTTACAATTGCATTTGAGAATCAGATTTTTTTTCCTTTGTTTTATAAATTTTTAAGGCATGAAGGTACAGTTGCCAGGTCAAAGTGCAAGGAAGAAGGCCACAAAAGTATCAAGAAAGGTAGTTTTGGGATGAAGAGAAACTGACAGAGAAATCAATGTCACATAAACCTCTTGGTGGTCACATCTGGCAGGCAGACCGACCCCACCACTACTGCAATTTCAGACAACCTGATTTTAACTTATTTTTAAATACTAATCTTGCCATAATTGATCATCTGACTTTTATTCTTGTTCTGAGAAATTCTTAAGAAAAAGCATCGAATGAGAAAGCAGCAGCAAGATTAAAAACATGAATAAAAAGCATATCTTTTCATGTAAATCAAGCTTGTCCAACTCATGGCTCGTGGGCCGCAGGCAACCCAGCAGCACTTTGAATGAAGCCTTACACCAATTCATACACTTTCTTAAAACATTATGAGGGTTTTTTGCATTTTTTTTTTTTTAAGCTCGTCAGCTCTCTTAGTGTTAAGTGTATTTTATATGTGGTTTGAGATAATTCTTCTTCTGATGTGGCCCAGGGAAGCCAAAAGATTGGACACCGCTGATGTAAATGAAAGTGAACTGTAAAATAATACTAGTCTCTAAGAAAGCCAGACTTCCTTAAAAAGGCAAGTCGTTTATCCAGTGTAGGAGTTTGGGGAATTATTTTCTAAGGAAAGAAATTGTGCTTTCCAGTCCCCCATGAATGAAATTTACTTTTACAAATTTACCAGCTCACTAGTTTCATTATAACATTGGTCCATCATAACGGCATATTTTACCTAGAAAAAATATTTAGTTCCTAGGAGACAGAAATTCTAGTTGAATTCTAAGATGTCTTTAAGTTATATATAACTTTCATTTTTTTATTCTAATAGCTCAAAATGCATTGCATCTACTCTAATAATAAACAGATATTATGAATGCTGATTTATAGCATTTTAAGACCTACAGCTGGAAAAGACCACTTGACCGTCAATTTAAGAAAGCCACAAATGACATGACATACTAATTACATTATAATGGCCCAGTTAATAATACCACTCCTGTAAACATTTCCTTCCAGTGAAAAAGGAAATAGTATATATCTGCATATTGCAATAATCATTCAAGGAAGTTTGAAAAAATACTGAAATTGGTAAAGTTATAAGCATTTTATAGAAATAAAAAGTTTTACTGGTTGCTTATCAGAACTATAATTATTCATAAATATTACTTCAATAAGTTTAAAAATATACAAACCAACCCAAATCTCACACATGTTGGCCCTACTAATGTCAATTCAATTCTAATATAATTATAAGAAAATACGATAATGTCAAAGGAAACACGGCAGGTTCACAAAGTACTGGGCAGGCAGGTAACCCAAATAAGTGAAATAGGCTTCAAGGGCAAGGAGGACTGTGCCTAACAGCTGCTACTCAGCCCAACCCAACCTTTGCCTTGAGGAGATACTGGTAAAGAACAACAATAATAAACTTTCTGCTAATAGAACAGCCTGCAGGCTGGATTCCGCACACAGGCTACCATGTATAGGTATCTTGTACCTTTGCCAAAATGCTTAGTGGCGACGAACTGGTATGAGTTAGAAAAGCTAGACTGAAAAAATACCTCTCTTTTGATTCTAATAAACTTCATGAACCTATCCAGTCTCTGTTTCCTCACCTATGTCAATGATTTTTCTTTTCTTTTCTTTTTTTTTTTTTTTTTAAGAGAAGGAGTCTCAATGTTGCCCAGGCCAACTCCTGGGTTCAAGCAATCCTCCCACCTTATCCTCTTGAGTAGCTACGACTATAGGCGCGCGCCAACGCACCGAGCTTGAGTTTTTTAAGTGAGGTTAGGTAATGCACATAATTTTTTAAAATGCTATCATTAGATGCGGAGGGGTACAGATTAAAAAGGAAACAGAAAAAGAGCAGCAACAATTTAAGCCTCTGTTCCATCTGGCTATGGGCTTTACTTTTCCTCAAACTGACAACACCTTGTCCCACCTTCTTTCCCACCCACAGGCTATTTTCACCTGTAATGTCTCCTCTTCCTCAGGTTTCTTCAAGGTGTACTTAATGTTTCATTTATACTTCTCCTTTTTACTTCAGGCCTCCTTTGAAAGTACTTTCAGGAATGGCATTGAAACTAGGGCCTATTTTACTGCTGAACTCTAGGACAAACTCATGAAATCTTGTAGTAGATTTTCCCCTAAATCTTTGAACACTGTGCACTTCGTGAATTATTTATGCCTACCTAAAGGGCCTATCGGCATGTTCATTGAACAGTGCTTCTTCTTCCCGGGACTATTCCCGGGACCCTCGCTTAATGTTTGTTCAAGGAATGCCAATCAAATTAACGAAAATGTCAAAACATATTAAAAAAAAATTAATTGCTAAGCAAATAGATTTGAAACAACTTCAGAATATCAATTCCAAGGCTCCCCTTCTTTAAAAGGAAATGTGAGTTAAGAACAATCTAATTTAGTTTTTTCTTACATTCATTCTAGTACACGCACCCAAAAAACAAAACAAAACAGCTTTCCTCAGAAAGGTGCGTTTGACTTTCTCAAAAAGAAGTTATATTGATTTCAGTTCATGAGGACAAGTAACTTTCTCCATCTTTTTTTTCTTTTTCTTTTCTTTCTTTTTTTTTTTTTTTTGGAGACACGATCTCACTCTGCTGTCCAGGCTGCACTGCAGTGGCCCAAACATGGCTCACTGCAGCCTCAACTACCTGCAGTCAAGGGATCCTCCTGCTTCAGCCTCCCAAGTAGCTGGGACCACAGAAGCACACCACCACTTGGGTAATTCTTAAATTTTTGTAGGGACGGGGTCTTGCCACGTTGCCCAGGCTGGTCTAGAACTCCTGGGCCCAAGCAATCCTTCCACCTCAGCCTCCCAAAGTGCTGAGATTACAGGCGTGAGCCACCGCGCCCAGCCCTCTGTTTATTTTCTTGATAACAATCTGGAATCTTGATTCCATGAAACCTCTGAGAATCAAAAGAAATGTTATGGTGCCGCTCCCCAGGTAAACGCACAGAACCTCAAATTTTTGTAAGCGATTCTAGGGAATTGCTTATGGAATACTCCAGGATCTTCCGTGGAAAATCTATCCACCCTAAGTTAAGAATTCCACTGCTGAATATGAGGTTTGTTTCTATTATTAAGTGTTACGTATCTTTTTAAAAAGATAGTCTTTCTTAATGAGGCCTTCAGCTTTGAGAGTTAACTAGGGAAGCAGCTTCCCTTTGCAACTAAAACTACTACCTCACAGCCATCCCGACAGCTGACAGAAAGTTGAGAATTTCTTACCTCTGAGAAATTAACAGCCAAGGGAATGATTCCAGCCACGTAACATCCCACCAACATAGCCAAAGACAGTAGGCTAATGGAGATGAAATCATCCATTCTGCCCTTCTTTATTCACCCACCACCACTAGACAACAAATTTCCAGTGGCTTTAAAAGGTGCTTAGGTTCTTTAAACAGGTGTGGTGGTTCCAAGAGAGTGGGCTTTCCAGTTCTTTAGGCCTCCTCACCAGCAGATGTGTTCACGAGGCACCTTCCTCTTGAACGTACCCGGAAACAGACCCTTGTTGCTGATATTAGCACCAGAGAAAGCTTACAGCAATCTAGGGTCCCAGGCTCTGGGTTCTGAGATGCCAGTCATTAGATTCTCGTGGGTTAACAGAGATGGGAAAAGTCAATGGGGAAAATGTGCGAATGATCGATTTCTTCGATTGTCGGAATGAGAGTGGCACAACGTCTTACGCGGCGGCGGGTGATTCAAGCGAACCTGTTCGTTCCCTAGGCGCCCCTGTCTCCAAGAGGCGGCCCCGAAGGTGATCCGCCCCCCACGGCAGGAAACCAGCCCACCAGTCCCAGCAAACTGTCCTCTGAGCCTGGGATGCGGAAAGGAGTCCTGCAGGTCTCTAACGATGGGTCCTAGGGGTTCAGCAGCAAAGTTGACACAAAGCTGTCTCTGCCCTATACCCGGTGCTGCCCATGGTACTGCACTCGGCCGGGCCTTGACCCGGAGTCGCCGATACTACAGCTGCCATGGCCGCCAAGTGGCACCTCTTCATTCCATCCACTTCCGGATTGTCTAACCGCCCCCTCCTTTACAAGGGCACTTCCGGGTTACAACCGACCTCTGGCCCGCGATACTTACGTTGCCGCCATTTTTGAGTAGGGCTAATTAAAGATGTCTGATGTCACTGTCTACACCGGTGCTCACTTGAACCGTATGTTTAATAACGAAAGTACGGAAGACAGCGTCTTGAAACAAAATAATTCTTCCTAAAGCTCGGAAACTTTCCCTTACTTACCTTTTTGCCTTTATCGAAGATGGCTGAAACAGAGTCAGTATCTGCTCTAGCTGCCGGAAGTGACTGTGCCTCTATGATCCAAAAGGCTCTTTTGCGTTGAATTTTCGACGACTTCCGGCGGCTCCTCTCGCGGGGATTGGCTGTTAGCGGCGTTGTGGCTAAGCTCGTGTAACGGCGGCGGTGTCGGCAGCAGCTGCAGCGAAGAGAGTTTGGCGCGATGGTGAGAAAGGCCCCCGCGGCTACCCGAGTCCGAGTCCCCGGCCTCCAGAGCGACCCCAGCCCTATACATTTTCCTCTCCCCACGAGCCCCATGCAGCGCGGCGTGATGCTCCCCGCCACTCCAGTTGGTGGATGGATCCTTCTTCCCGCCGCAGAGACGCCAGGCCTGACTCTAGGCCCCGGAGCGCCAGTCCGCCCTGCGGTTGCGCGCCCGCCTGCTCGCTCGGGTCAGGCGTGCCTTGGACCTGAGGATGAGCTCTCTCCCGATTGTTACTCGGTAGAGGGAGGCATAGGAATGGTGGTTTTTTTGGTTTGTTTTTTGAGACAGTCTCACTGTATCGCCCAGGCTGGAGTACAGTGGTGTGATCTCGGCTCACTGCAACCTCCGCTTCCTGGGTTCAAGCAATTCTCCTGCCTCAGCTTCCCAAGCTGGGATTACAGGCGCCCACCACCTCGCCCGGCTAATTTTTGTATTTTAGTAGAGATGGAGTTTCATCATGTTGGCCAGGCTGGTCTCGAACTCCTGACCTCAAGCAGTCTACCCGCCTCGGCCTCCCAAAGTGCTGGGATTACAGGCGTGAGCCACCGGTCCCGGCCGGGGATGGTGCTTTTTCCCTCCAAATGCTCTAGCCTGCTGTAGGAACAATGGGCCAGGGTTGTGTAACCTTTTCTCGAAGCTGACAGATCCAGCTTACTATACCCAGCATGTGGGCCAGGAGAGGTCGTATTTACTTTGTAGTGTTTTCTCAGCTTTCGTTTTCCTGTGCTCTGCCTTTTTTTTTTTTTTTTTTTTTTTTTTTTTTTTTTTTTTTTTTTTCCTATTTCTGAGACCTCTAGGTAGTTCATGTGGCGCGTCCCTCAGCCCTCGATCTTCTTCTTATCTGTATTTATATCCTCTTGGGGCTGGAGACTGAAAAGTAGGCTCAGCTCAGAGACCAGCTCTATTAGAATCCAACCAGGATGATCAGTAAGCTCCAATTCGAAGAAAGTGACCAAAACTGGCTTGAGAGGTGGTATCATCTGTAAAGAATTTGAGCAGGAAAGCAATGCCATTTAAAAATGACCACATTTTTTAAAATGTATCATGTTACGTTCTTAGTGGTTTTTAATCCCTGTTTTTGGGCAGTAAGTATTGAAAATAGTAAACTTTGCCCAGTGTTCATTTTAAGACTAGATATAAAAAGCAACATGCTGTATAGCTTATTCCATTGTTACGCTTTCAAATTAGTCCTTTAATTTGCATTAGAATTGGAATACAATTATAGTAGCAGTTGAGATAGCTAGTGTATAGGGGCAAGCTCTGTTGCAAGAATGCACGTGGTTTCTACAAAATTATTTTTTCTTAACAAATGACTCATTGAAACTTTTTGAGTAGCTAGCTTACAAAGACTTCTGTGTAACAAATAATCTAATGCTTTCTGTGGCTTTTAAATCGATTTAACAAAGGCTTTGACTGTTCAGGTTATAGGTGAGAGTTAATCCTTCGTCTCTTGTCACCAAGTTCCGTTTTTATCTCACACCCTCTCAAACTTTTAGTCAAAGTGATTTAATTATTGATGGGCAGAGAAGAGTATAACCCTTTGTTTTGCGTGTCATGTTAAATGTACTATTTTTCCATTGTTTATTCAGCTATTTCAGCTCCAATTTGATGGTTAAAAATTCTGATCATTTTGGCCGGGCGCAGTGGCTCACGCCTGTAATCCCAGCACTTTGGGAGGCCGAGGCGGGCAGATCACCTGAGGTCAGGAGTTCGAGACCAGCCTGACCAACATGGAGAAACCCTGTCTCTACTAAAAAGACAAAATTAGCGAGCGTGGTGGCATATGCCTGTAATCCCGGGTATTGGGAGGCTGAAGCAGAAGATTCTCTTGAACCCGGGAAGCAGAGGTTGTGGTGAGCTGAGATCGTGCCATTGCACTCCAGCCTGGGCAACAAGAACTCTGTCTCAAAAAAAAAAAAAAAAAAAAATTATTTTCATTCCAAAACAGTTAGGGTTCCTGTTGTTAGGAAATTTTTGTTTTCTGGTTTTTGGCTGAAAAATACTAGTACAGCAGAAGAGAAGGAAAAAAGTGAATAGTTTGATTTGGGACTGGGTTTACAGTGGAGTTGCATCATACTTGCATTTAATTAATCAACCTTACACGGGTAGCAAAAAATTGGATGGGTCATATTTTCAACAGACCAGTGAATTCTCAGCTGGATGAGATTTTTTGCTCCCTAAGGGACATTTGTCACAAAGAATCAGCCAGCTCAAAATGTAATAGAGCCCAGGTTGAGAAACACTGAGATTGACTTGTTAGTGACTGAACACTAACAAAAACATGTTCCCCAGTGAGCATGAAGTGGAAGACACGTCTGTCTGCTATTTTTCGGGCATATTTCACATTTCTCGTAGTGTGATAACCTAACATTCTGTGTGATTCTAATACCTGGTTTTGGTATGAGAAAGCCCAGTAAGGCAAGTCATCTACTAGGTGAATAGTTCAATGGATTTTTAAGGGTAATTCTTATGATGGTTTATATTGCTAATTTATCTACTGCTTTAATGTTAAGTCTAACCCCTGGATAAAATGTGACTTTGCTCTTATGCTAAGGTTGGCAAAAAAAATTGAAACCATGCTTGTGATTATTACACTATTTCCCCTTTTGTTTCCTTTCATCAGCCCATCTGAGTTTTTATTAATGACTTAAGAGCATTAAAGATGGAAAGTGACCACTGGAGACAGAAAACCTAAGCAGGTTTATAATTTAGTTGGGAAGAAAAGATACAAAAGAAAAAGGAAGACAAGGTAGCTTATACTGATAACTTGTAGGCAGTAAATACAGTAGGACTGGGAGACTTAGGGAGACCTTACAGTAGAGTTGTGAATCCAGCTAGATCCTACACTTGGACTAAGACATAAATATTTTTGTGGGAAAAGTATCCTAATTACTTTTTTTTTTTTTAAGAGATAGGGTCTCACTCTTCGATGCAATGGTGTGATCATGGTGCACTGCAGTCTCAGCCTCCTGGGCTCAAGGAATCCTCCTGCCTTAGACTTCCAAAGTGCTGGGACAACAGGCATGCACCCAGGAAATTTTATTTTATTTTTTTAGAGACAGGGTCTTGCTGTGTTGCCCAGGCTGGTCTCAGGCTTCTGGCCTCAAGTGATTTTCCACCCCTCAGCCTCCCAGAGGATGAGGATTACAGGCATGGGATGCCATGCCTGGCCTCTCTAATTACATTTTAATAACTAGCAATCATTATTGCATTACAAATGGGGATTTTTTTTTTTTTATCATACTATGAATTTCTCAAATAGAAACTTATATTGAAATCATGTTTCCCCCCTGCAGTCTCACACCATTTTGCTGGTACAGCCTACTAAGAGGCCAGAAGGGAGAACTTATGCTGACTACGAATCTGTGAATGAATGCATGGAAGGTAAGTTTAACACTAATCAAGGGGTAGAAAAATGTCTCATTTAGGAACTGGGTTTTCCCCTACCAAATTTTTTTTTTTTAAATAGTCCATCCACCCCAGGCCCTGCCTTTTAATCAAGGGGTAGAAAAATGTCTCATTTAGGAACTGGGTTTTCCCCTTCCAAATTTCTTTTTTTTTTTTTAATAGTCCATCCACCCCAGGCCCTGCCTTTATCACTTCCAAACCTCCAAACTTCTTGAATTGCTAATTTTAGGCGGGAAAGCAGATATTTAGGATGGACCATAATTATTGAACATCCTATTTATTTATTTGTTTGTTTATTTATCATTTGAGACAGTCTTGCTCTGTCATCCAGACTGGAGTGCAGTAATGCAATCTCGGCTCATGCAACCTCCACCCCCCAGGTTCAAGCGATTCTTGTGCCACGGCCTCCCTAGTTGCTGGGACTACAGGCATGGGCCACCACAGCCAGCTAATTTTTTATGTGTTTAGTAGAGACAGGGTTTCACCATGTTGGCCCGGCTGGTCTCGAACTCCTGACCTCAAGTGATCCACCAGTCTTGGCCTGTTGAACATTTTAAACGTTAATTATGTATATACTATCCTCCTTGCTGTAAGTATTAGGTGTTTGTTTTGTTTTGTTTTTTTAAGCTAATGTATATAGTGAATGACTTTCCAGAGCTTCTTGTTTTATAAATATTCTGTTATTATTTGTCACATGTTATTTTGTTATAGTATAGAAATATTTTACAGGTATCCCTTATATATTCTGGTTAAACTCAAGCACTATAGACTTGCGTGTCTGTTTTTAATAGGTTGTTTTAATAGATTTAAGGGATACAAGTGCAGTCTTCTATGGATATATTGCAAAGTAGTAAAGTCTGGACCTTTTTTTTTTCCTTAAGAGACAGGGTCTTGCTCTGTCACCCAGGCTGGGGTGCAGTGGTGATCATGGCCTATTGCAGCCTCAGTTTCTTGGGCTCAAGCAGTCCTCCTGCCCCAGCCTCCCAAATAGCTGGGACTACAGGCACCTGCTGCCACACCTGGCTAATTTTTTGTTTCTTTTTTTTATAGAGATGGGTCACTGTGTTGTGCATGTTGGTCTCAGACTTCTAGCCTCAAGCAGTTCTCCTGCCTTAGCCACCCAAAGTTCTGGGATTACAAGTGTGAGCCACCGCCCCCAACCAAGTCTGGGTTTTTGGTGTAACCATCACCTGGTGTACATTGTACACAGTAGTGATTTTTCATCCCTCACCTTTCTCCCACCTTTAGTCTCCAGTGTCAGTTATTCCACTCTGTCCATGTGCACACATTATTTAGCCTCCACTAATAAGTGAGAACATTAGATGTTTGACTTTCTGAGTTACTTCACTTGAGGTAATGACCTCCAGCTCCATCCATGTTGCTACAAAGACATGGTTTTATTTTTTTAATAGCTGAGTAGTAATCCATGGTATGTATATGTATGCATACTCATACACCACATTTCCTTTATCTAGTCATCCATTGATGGACACTTAGGTGATTCCATGACTTTGCTGTTGTGTATAGTACTGCAGTAAACATACAAGTGCATTTATCTTTGTTTCTTTTTGTTTTTTGAGACAGAGTCTCACTCTGTCACCCAGGCTGGAGTGCAGTGGTGCAGTCTCAGCTCACTGCAACTTCTGCCTCCTAGGTTCAAATGATTCTCCTTCCTCAGCCTCCTGAGTAGCTGGGACTACAGGTGTGTGCCACCACACCCAGCTAATTTTTGTATTTTTAGTAAAGACAGGGTTTCACCGTGTTGACCAGGCTGGTTCCGAACTGACCTCAAGTGATCCACCCACCTCAGCCCCCCAAAGTGTTAGGATTACAGGCGTGAGCCACCACTCCTGGCCGTCTACTCTAATTCTTAAAGAAGAACATGGCATTTTTTCTTCATCTCTTTTCAGATCCATTTCTCTGCTGACATTTCTGCTTGCTATTGATGTAGATTTTGTATGCAAACTCTTAGCAAATTGTTTCCTAACCTGTATTATCATGTTTGGTGTTTGATTCTGCAATACTCTTTATTAACTTTTGCTGATTTTAATAAAGTCTAACTTTAAAAAAAATTAATATACTTTATTTCTTAGGGCAGTTTCAGGGTTGTAGAAAAATTGAACAGAAACTAGAGTTTTCCCATATTACTCTCTTTCTTCACCCCTACACGATTTCCCCTATTTTTAATGAATCTCTTTGGTGTGGTACATTTGTAACAGTGATGAACCAGTATTCATTACTGATACATTATCATTAAGTAAAGTCTGTAGTTTATACTAGGTTTCATTCTTTATGTCCTACATTTCTGTGGATTTTCCCAAATGCGCAGTGTCATTTGTCCGCCATTACAGCGTCACACAGAATGGTTTCACTGCCCTGCCCTAAACATTGCTTGTGCTCTACCTATTCATCCCTTCCTATCCCACCCTCAACCTCTGGGAACCATTGTTCTTCTCACTGTCTCCATAGTTTTGCCTTTTCCAGAATGTCATATAGTTGGAACCATTATCGTGTGTGGCTTTTTCTTACTGGCTTTTTTGACTTAGCAATGTGCATTTAAGTGTCCTCCATGTCTTTTCATGACTTAGTAGCTCTTTTTCTTATTCTAAAAATTAAAAATGGTGATTTATTTCCCATTTAAAAAGCTAAAACAAAAAAAAAGTTAAAATGATTATTAAATAAGTTCTCATATGTTGTGATTGCCAAATGGTAATTTTATTATTCTTTTTTTTTTTTTTTTTTTTTTGGTAGAAAAAAACTTCTGTAGATCGAATCTTTTTTCTCCTCCCCTCTTACTATTTTTTAAGAGCAGTTAAAGACTATTTAAGACCATGTTTTTAGAGCAGTTTTAGGCTTATGGGAAAATTGTTTGGAAAGTACAGAGCTCCAGCATACGCCTTCTTTCTTCCCCTTCTTAGCTTCCCCTATTAGTGTATTTTCTGTTAGTCTGATTACACTTGTTGCGATTGATGAATTAATATTGATAGATGATTATTAACTAAAGTTCACAGTTTGTTAGGGTTTACTGTATGTGTTGAACATTCTGTGGGTTTTGACATGTATAATTACATGTATCTGCTTTTACTGTATCATACACAGTAATTTCACTCCCAAAAATCCCCATTGCCCTACCTATACCTCCTTCCTTGCCACCACCCCCAAACCCCTGATCTTTTCACCATCTCTGTAGTTTTGCCTTTTCTGGAATGTCATGTTGGAGTTAGTGGAGTATGAAGCCTTTTCAAATTGGCTGCTTTGACCTAGCAATATGCTTTTTTTTTTTTTTTTTTTTAAACTGTCACCCATGCTGGGGTGCTGTGATGCAATCTCAGCTCACTGCAACCTCTGCCTCCCTGGTTCAAGCGATTCTTCTGCCTCAGCCACCCAAGTAGCTGGGATTACAGGCCTGCGCCACCACGCCTGTTGTTTTGTATTTTTAGTAGAGACAGGTTTTACTCTTTGGCCAGGCTGGTCTCAAACTCCTGACCTCAAGTGATCCATCCACCTTGGCCTCCCAAAGTCTGGGGATCACAGGCTTGAGCCCCCACGCGTGGATGACCTAGCAGTATGCTTTTATGGTTCTTTCTTTTTGTGTGTGTGGCTGTATAGCTCATTTCTTTTTATTGCTGGATAATATTCCCTTGAATGAATGTACTACAGTTTGGTTTTCCATTCACTTATTGAAGAACATCTTGTTTGCTTCTATTTTTTGGCAATTACGAATAAAGCTGCTATAAACATTTATGTGTAGGTTTTTGTGTAGACCTAAGTTTTCAGCTCATTTGGGTAAATACGTAGGAGAGTGATTGCTAGATTATGTGGTACGAGTATGTTTAGCTTTGTAAGAAACTGCCGAACTGTCTTCAGACATGGCAGTACCATTTTGCATTCCCACTAGCAGTGAATGAGTTTCTGTTCCACATCCTTACCAGCATTTGGTGTTGTCAGTGTTTTAGATTTTAGCCATTCTAAGGTATCTTATTGTTTTAATTTGCAATTCCCTAATGACATATAATGTCATCTTTTCATATGCTTATTTGCTGTCTACATCTTTATTGAGGTATCCACATCTTCTGCCCATTTTTCATTGATTATGGTTGAGTTTTAGGAGTTCTTTGTATATTTTTGGACACTAGTCCTTTATCAGATAGATGTTTTATAAAGGTTTTCTCCCAGTTTGTGGTGTCTTCTCACTTTCCTAATAGTGTCTTTTAGAGCCAAAAGTTCTTTATTTTTATAAACTTTAACTTACACATTTTTCTTTTTGTTGTGCTTTTGGTGTCATATCTAAGAAACCATTGCTTTATCCAAGGTCACAAATATTAATGCCTTTATTTTTTTCTATGGGTCTTATACTTTTAAGTCTCTGGTCTGTTGTAGGGTTGTGTCCAAGTTCATTCTTTCACATGTGACTATCCACTTGTCTGAGCGTCATTTGTTGAAAAGACTGTTCTTTGTGGAATTGTTTTGGCATGCTAGTCAAAAAGCGGTTGACCATAAATGCGAGGGTTTGTTTCTGGGCTCTCATTTCTGTTCCATTGATCTAGATACCTGTCCTCATGCCAATACCATATTGTCTTGATTGCAGTAGTTTCATAGTAAGTCTTGAAATCGGGAAGTTTGAATCCTCCTGTGTTGTTCATTTTCAAGATTATTTTGGCTGTCTTGGGTCCCCTGCATTTTTGTGTCAAATTTAGGATTAGATTGTTGCCTTCTGCAAAAGCAGCTTGGATTTTTACAGGAATTGCATTGAATCTGTAGATCACTTGGGGGAGTATTGCCATCAGGTCTTCCAACTCATGAACGTGGAATGTCTTTCCGTTTATTAAGCATGGCATGGTGGCTCATACCTGTCATCCCAAGACTTTGGGAGGACAAGGCGAGCGGATTGCTTGAGCCTAGGAGTTTTGAGACTAACCTGGGCAACATGATGAAGCCCCTGCTCTCCAAAAAGTACAAAAATTAGCTTGGCATGGTGGTGCGTACCTGTAGTCCCAGATCCTTGGGAGGATCACTTGAACTTGAGAGGTCAAGGCTGCAGTGAGCTGTAATTGGGCCACTGCACTCCAGCCCGAGCAACAGAATAAAACGTTGTCTCAAGGGAAAAAAAAGTCTTTCCATGACATTTTATAGTGTAGTGTACACTTTTTGTACTTCTTTTGTTAGGTATTTCTAAGAGTTTTACTCTTTTTTATACTGTTATAAATGGAGTTTTCTTAATTTTATTTTCAGATTTGTTGTTAAGCCATAGAAATAGAATTTATTTTCATATACTGATCGTATATCCTGCAACCTTGCTGTACTCATTTATTAGTTCTAATAGATTTTTATTGTTTCCTTAGGATTTTCTATCTACAAGATAATGTCATCTGCAAATAATGATAGCTGTATTTCTTCCTTTCCAATCTGAAGGCCTGTAATCTCTTTTTCTTGCCTAATTGCCCTGGCTAGAACTTCTAGTACAATGTTGAATATAAGTAGCAACAGTAAATATTCTGGTATTCTTCGTAATCTTAGCAGAAAAGCATTTCGTCTTTAACCATTAAGTATAATGGAGGCTGGGCGTGGTGGCTCATGCCTGTAATCCCAGCACTTTGGGAGGCCAACCCGGGTGGATCACCTGAGCTCAGGAGTTTGAGACCAGCCTGGGCAACATGGTGAAACCCCATCTCTACTAAAAATACAAAAATAAGCCGGGCTTGGTGGCGTATACCTGTAATCCCAGCTACTCTGGAGGCTGAGGCTGAGGCAAGAGAATCGCTTGAACCTAGGAGGTAGAGGTTGCAGTGAGCCAAGATTGCTCCATTGCACTCTGGCCTGGGTAACAAGAGTGAAAACTCCATCTCAAAAAAAAAAAGTATGGTAACTGTTGGTCAATGCCTTTTTAAGATATATGAATTTATTTTCCTAGTTTTTGTTTTCTTTCCATTCAGTAACTCATGGGTGATATTCTGTGATCACAATGTAGTATGCCAGTAGCAATCAAAAACCCTAAGATAGTTGTTTGGTAGTTCTGTGGTTGAATAGTATTTTTACTAGGAAATTTATAAAGTTAAATTTATAAAGTTAAAAATATATAAGCTAATAAAAGGCTTATGTATACAGTATAGGACATGTTTTTTCTAGATAACTGGCATTTATGTCACTTATCCATTCATCATAATAGTCTTAAAATAGTTGACAGTAGGAGTAGACTGAAAAGGTATATTCTCCTTTTGTGGGAATAAGAAAGGAGAGTATCAGGCCAGGCACGATGGCTCACGCCTGTAATCCCAGCCCCTTGGGAGGCTGAGGCGGGCTGATCACCTGAGGTCAGGAGTTCAAGACCAGCCTGGCCAACATGGTGAAACTGCATCTCTACTAAAAATACAAAAAATTAGCTGGGTGTGGTGGCAGGTGCCTGTAATCCCAGCTACTTGAGGGACTGAGGCAGGAGAATCGCTTGAACCCAGGAGGCAGAGGTTGCAGTGAGCCAAGATCGCATCATTGCACTCCAGCCTGGGCAACAAGAGCAAAACTCTTGTCTCAAAAAAAAAAAAGAAAAGAAAGGAGAGTATCATTGATTAAAAACTAAATAGATAATGTATTCGGTAGCTAATTATAATTAGTGATGTGGGCTTGCTATTAATGATTTTGCTTATTATCTTTTTTATTATATTTCAGTACTTACATCCTTGTTCATGTGCTAATGCTTTATATGTATTATTTCAAATAAACTCACAATTCTATGAAGAGGCACTCTTAACTCTGTTTGACAGATGTGGTTCAGGGAATGGAGTTGTTTGTCCTCGGTTTGACAAGGGCAGAGCTGGAACTCAAGTCTGTGTGAATCCATAGTCCAGGATCTTAAATACACGTTAGGATAATCTCTTTCCTTGTTGCCAATTTTTAATTTTTAATTTTTAATTTTTTTGGATTTTTTATTTTTTTGCTCTGTGGCTTTAGGAAGAATTACTGAAAAACCTGTTAAGACCCACAGTGATATTTGTTTGAGCCATCAGATGGCAAGTCTTGAAAGTCCCTTAGCTCCAATGGTTTGAAGTAATCATTTTATTATTAAGACACAAAATAGTTACACCAACATTGTGGTGAATTTCTCGGCTGCCCAGACTGGAGTGCAGTGATGCAATCATGGCTCACTGCAGCCAAGTGATTCTCCCACCTCAGTTTCCCAAGTAGCTGGGACCACAGGCACATGCCATCAGGCCTGGCTAATTTTTTAATTTTTGTAGAGATGAGGTCTCCCTGTGTTGCCCAGGCAGGCTGGTCTTAAACTGCGAGGCCGCTGCACCTGACCTGGTGAATTTATAAAATAAAAAAGTATTTGCTAGTGGCAATAATCAAAAGCCATCAATCGATCATCTTTTCCCCAGCCCAACTTTATTAAAGTAAATATGATATCAACATATAGCACTGCTCATATCTAGAAGTGTATACGATTTTAAGATTTTGCTTTTTTTCCTATCCTTTCTTAGGTGTTTGTAAAATGTATGAAGAACATCTGAAAAGAATGAATCCCAACAGTCCCTCTATCACATATGACATCAGTCAGTTGTTTGATTTCATCGATGATCTGGCAGACCTCAGCTGCCTGGTGTAAGTATTGGCCAACATGTCTGTTATCTTGTATTTTCTATTGTTTTTCTGTCTCTTTGAGGTGATTTATGATATTGGGAGCTAACTATGTGCCTGACACTGATCTTTGCATTTGCATAGGGTATAGTAATTAATATTTCTCTTACAGAAATAAGAGATTGGCAACATAAAGCCAAAGGCACAGAAAAAAAGAACTTTGCTAATTGATATAGTTAGTATCCAGTAAGGATCCTAATTAAGATGTTCCATGTCCCTGTTCTTTGTTCCTTATACCTAATATTTTTTTTCCTTTACAGTCTTTGTCCTAAAGCCATTGGTTTGGGATTAAAACTAAGATTATCTTTTTTTCATGACATTTCAAAAACTTAAATATGTGTAGGGCTGAAATTGAATTTAATTTCAATCTTACCCTGTGTAAATATATATTTTTTGGTATGTAATAATGAGATTTTTTAACATATTTGTTATAGTTTGTATTGATAATCTGCTTCTGACAACTGCTAACAAGTAGCATAAAGTATTACTATAGACTTACCTAATCTTTTTTACATTAATGAACAGAAATTGAGGGTAAATACAGCTCATTTAACTAGCACCTTATGATACAATACTCAATCATCAGATACTTGAATACTTATTACATGCCAAGTGCTGTGCTAGAAGTTGAAAGAGCAGTGATGAGAAATATACAAGTCTTACTCATAGGCACTTCCTGGATCACCACTGGAGCCAGTCCTGGAATGTGGCTGCACCATGCTGTCTCCCCAAAAGTTCCAAAACATGCATTTCCTTGGAATGTTTGAGTTTTGTTTTGTGTACTTCTTCATTGTGTTCCAGTTGTAGCCATTTCACTTTGGTCACTCAGAACATTCAAATGAATGTTGCATGGTACTTTAAGCCATCCAGACATCCATAGGAAAAACATACCAGACAGAGGGGATGGTGGACAGCTTGTGTAGAAGTCCTGAAGTACGGGTGCCTGGCATGTTTGAAGTCATTAAGGAAGACTTTGAGGCTGCAGAGGAATGAGTGAAGGAGAGAGTCTTAGGAGATTGGAAGGTAGGGAGCAATGATATCCTGGAAGCCAGTGCAGAAGTGTATCGTATCATCGATAGGTCAGATAAGTAAGGACTGAGAATTTAATTGACCTCTGGATTTCACACTGTGGAAGTATTTGATGGCTTCCAAAACAGTTGTGGTATAGTGCCAGGAGTAAAAATGCTTACAGATTTCAGTGTATGGAAGGGAATGAAAAGAGAGGATTTATAGGTGGCTATTACAGGCTTGCTTTTTTTTTTTTCCCCCAAAGAATTTTGCTTGAAAGAACAGAAAAATGGGGTTGTAGCTGGAGAAGGAAATTGCTTTTTTTAAGGTGGAGAAAGTAATGGTAAGTTTGTAGGCTGATGGGATGATCTACTAGAGAAGGAGAACCCGATAGCTCAGATTGGTTCTTGGACAGTTCATTCATGAAAAAGGGAGGACAGGCAAATTTGGGAGCTGGGGGGAATTATCTTCTGTATGCTTCAGTTATCTCGGAAAGATAGGGAGCAAGGACACCATTTGAAACAGGTGTTACAGGTTTGTGGAAAAGTAAGAAATAAGCTAGGAAGGTGAAAGAAGTAGGGAACTGCAGTTAATTCAGGGATGTATTAAGTGTCCTCCAATGTACCTATCTGATAATGATTTAAAGTGAAATCAGTCATTGTGATCATGGGATTTTATCCTAGTCTCTTTCACCTGGATGGTTACAGGTGAGGAGTAGGTAGAGAGTAAAGATGTTGCTAAAGGTTGAGGGCATATATGAGGATAACAGCAAGGATTGAATGACCATGAGCTTTAATTGGGTGTGTAGGAGGAGGTGCTGGAAACAGGTAGATAAGTTAATTGTAGGTCCCACTGGATCAAGGATTGCTCACATTAGAGTGTTAGGAAGTGGTGGTCAGAGAATGACATGCTTGAAATTAGGAAATTGAAGTTGTTAGTAATGACAGGGTCTAGGGATCTGGCCAACAGATGGTAGGAGATGAGATCATTAGAGGAAAAGAGTTCATGGAATTGGGAGGCCTAGGTGTTGACAGAATCATCCACTGGATATGAAATTACCAATAATGTGTATATTAATTTATAGAATTTAAGAACAAGTTGCTTTGTTTGTGTTCACTGCTGCATCTCTGGTACATAATTAGGGCTGAGTAAATATTGATTATATAAATGCACGTCGCCGGGCGCGGTGGCTCAAGCCTGTAATCCCAGCACTTTGGGAGGCCGAGACGGGTGGATCACGAGGTCAGGAGATCGAGACCATCCTGGTGAACACAGTGAAACCCCGTCTCTACTAAAACTACAAAAAACTAGCCGGGCGAGGTGGCGGGCGCCTGTAGTCCCAGCTACTCGGGAGGCTGAGGCAGGAGAATGGAGTGAACCCGGGAGGCGGAGCTTGCAGTGAGCTGAGATCCGGCCACTGCACTCCAGCCTGGGCGACAGAGCGAGACTCCGTCTCAAAAAAAAAAAATAAATAAATAAATAAATGCACGTCATTCATGATGTTGTTTGAGGCATAGCTTTCTAAAATTATTGATAATTTTCTATTTCCCTTATTTGTATTACAGAGCTATATTCTGCATTGATTAAAAATTAATGGTTGTCTTTATGATTTTATAAAAGAACCTTACTGAAACATTCACGATCTAATCCTGATGCTTTTGGGATGTCGTACTTACTCCCAGTAAGTGGGAAGTAAACTTGAAATGAAGGATCATGTTTTACTCGTCTTGGGAGGCTGTGGTTAAGAGCTAGCTGGAGTGGAGAATTAGACATAGCTGGGTTTGAATCCTGTCTCCACCATTGGCTAGCTTCCTTTGACAAGGCCACTTGGTATTGCTAAACTTCAGTTTGCTCATTTGTGAAATTGAGACAAATCTAGTTCACAAGACTCCTTGTGAGGATCAGGTGCTTGCTGAGCACAGCATTATTAGACATGCCGCAACTCCCTTTTCAACTAGATCGAAGAAGTCAGGATAGAGTTTTATTTTTAATTACAAGCATGTTTTTTAAATTTGCCAGGAGTAGAATGATATGAATTTTAATTTCTACAAGTGAGATAAATTATAAATTTCAAGTGAGATTTAAAAGGCGTTCAGGTTTTTTCAACAGTATGAAAACTGAACAGAGTAAAACAGTTATAAGTAACATGTTAATAACGTAAAAGTATGTCATTAATGACAGAACATAACTTTTCTAACTTTGTACTAGACTTTATAAAAAGAAAAATTTAGAGACAGGGTCTTGCTATGTTACCCAGGCTGGTCTCAAACTCCTGGGCTTAAGTGATCCTGCTCCCTCAGCCTCCCCAAGGGGTGAGATTACAGGCATGAGCAACTGTGCCTGGCTGTATGGACTTTAAAATGTAAACTAGAAACCATATCTAGCATACTAAACTGATTTTTAATACAGTATTTGCTATATTAAAGCAAAATAGGGGGGAAGCTTTATTACCTAGATAATTCTTCCCACCTACAGTTGTTCCAGAAATATAGAAGAGAGGTTAATGATAATTTATGACTTTTAATAGTTTCAGAGAGACTGTTAAAAACCATAAATTATCATAGCTTGAAAACCTGTAACTATTTATGTTTGTTTCTAATGTTGAAAACTTTTTGGCCTCTGAAAAACTTTCAGAATCAAATTTAGGACTTAAAACTACTTTTCCCAGGTAACTTTGGTTATGTCCTTTTTGTTATTTGAATGTTCAGAAGAAATCAGGTATTGTTTCCAAAGAGGTCACCCACTGCCACAGCACATCCTGTAACAGCATGTCCTCTCCTCTGTTTCATCAAGGACTAAGATTTGGGCCGTTACTCCTCAGACCAGAGACTGGGTCCATTTTTGGTTTGTAGATGGTTGTGTGCTCATTGCTTCTATTAAATTGACATGGCAGTAACATAGGACTTTTTTTAAGTAATTTTTTTTTAACAGTTTGTGTGGAAATGGAATAAATAAGAATCTACTTTGTGACATGGCTAAACCCAGAGCAAACTGACCATGTATTAATAATAAAATGTAGGCATGGAAAATTTGTATTTCGTATACTTAAAGTCAGAGTCAAAGTTTTTCAGTTTTCTGATCTGTATGTTTTTTAAAAAAGCTTTTTGTAAGATGAAAATAATATCCTTTTGATGATGCAGTATGTTCTTGTTTGCTTAGAGACAAAGGACATTTTCACCGTCAGTTATTGTAATGACGAGAGGTATTCCTGATCAGTAAGAGAAGTTGGTATCACTGAAGACGCTGCTGATTTCACTGCCCAGACCCACAGCCTCTGTTCTTATATAAACTTACATTCATTGACCATAACAATAGGTTAAAAGATTCATCTGTGCCAATGACTAGGCATTTTATTAAAGTATGTAACATTTAATTGTCTCATTTTCCAGTACCGGTTAACAGCCATCAACCACACAGCTTTCCATAAAGAAGGCATTATTACTTTTCTTTTTTTCTTTTTTTTTTTTTTTTTATTTTGGAGATAGAGTCTCGCACTGTCGCCCAGGCTGGAGTGCAGTGGTGCCATGTCAGCTCACTGCAACCCCCGCCTCCTGGGTTCAAGCGATTGTCCTGCCAGCCTCCCGAATAGCTGGGACTACAGGTGCACGCCACCATGCCCAGCTAATTTTTGTATTTTTTTTTAGTAGAGACAGGGTTTCACAATGTTGGCCAGGATGGTCTTGACCTCTTGACATAGTGACCCGCCGGCTTTGGCCTCCCAAAGTGCTGGGATTACAGGCATGAGCCGCTGGCACCCAGCCTACTATTTGATGAGTTGGAAAATTGCATGCAAGTTGATGGATTCCTAAATGTTCACAAACCAGAGTGATTTTTGTTGGGGGGGAATGGTATAAACAAAGCCTGTCCCACCCAGATATGATAATTGTGAGAAATTTTATTCCTTTTTAAGTTCTTTTCCAGTGTTAATATAAACGTTATAGTCTCTTCTGCCACATTTTGCAGTAGACTAGCTTAGAGCTTATTTAATTAGGAAGCATGGACAGAGTTTTCAGAAAAAATTACATTTTATAATTTTTTAATTTGGTTAAGCATTTTTAAAAATGGGAATCTTGTACATTTTTAATAAACCAGATTGTGACCATACTGTTCAGAGGAAGAATATGATGTTAATTGTATAAAGCATTCCTACTTTGGAATTTATTTCCTTTGTCAAAAATTGTAGTTTAGGTTTCTAACTTAGTGATTAACAGTGAGGACTCTGGAGTCAGGAGTATTTAAAATCTACCTCCAGTCCAGCATTACCTAGCGAATAAGTTGCTTCACTTTTAAAGCCTTGGTTTCTCATTTATGAAAAAGGGGGCCAGGTGCAGTGGCTCACGTCTGTAATCCCAGCACTTTGGGAGGCCGAGGCGGCTGGATCACTTGAAGTCAGGAGTTCAAGACCAGCCTGGCCAACATAGTGAAACCTCGTCTCTACTAAAAATACAAAAAATTAGCCGGACGTGGTGGCACACGCCTATAGTCTTACCTACTCAGGAGGCTGAGGCAGGAGAATCATGAAAACCCAGGTGGCAGAGGTTGCAGTGAGCCAAGATGGTACCACTGCACTCCAGACTGAGTGACAGAATGAGACTCTGTCTCAAAAAAAAGGAGGTGGGCGGGGAGCAGGGATAATTGTACCTACTCACAGGGTTGTAAGAATGAGTTAATTCAGGTAAGAATTTAAAGCAACCCCAGTACTCTGTGACATCTTACTAGATACTACTCACAGTCTCATTGGAGTTTTACTGCTAATGCTAGTCTGTGTACTCCTTACCCTTCTGATTAGAGATATTTTGGAGCTTACTATGTCTCCTGATAATTCTTCTCCATAGGCCTCTAGCATTATTTATTTTAAAAAGCAAATCCTAAAATATAGGTTTAAGATTTCCTTAATACTTTACAGGGGGAGGGAAATCAGCAAGAAATCTTTGTTGCCAGTACATGTTTTTTTAAAGGTTTTTTTAGTTAACTCAGAATAAACTTTGCGAATCTAAAGTTTGTTCTAGTGTTTTTTGTTTCTTTGTTTTTTTGTTTGTTTTTGTTTTTGTTTTTTTGAAATGGAGTCTCACTCGTGGGAGTGCCATGGCACGATCTCGGCTCACTGCAACCTCCACTGGTTGAAGCAATTCTCTTGCCTCAGCCTCCCGAGTAGCCAGGACTACAGATGCGTGCCTCCATGCCCAGCTAATTTTTGTACTTTAGTAGAGGCAAGGTTTTACCATGTTGGCCAGGCTGATCTTGAGCTCCTGACCTCAAGTGATCCAGCTGCCTTGGCCTCCCAAAGTGCTGGGATTACAGGCATGAGCCACTGCGCCTGGCCAATTTTTTTGTTGTTGTTTTTTAATCACTAAAGGAACCATAAAAATAGAAACTATGTAGGAGACAGAACACATGGTTTCTGGTCATACTCTGTGAAGAAGTAGGTATGTAACATATTGGGCGTTTAGCTTAAAAGTTCTAAGTCATATTTTCTTTTTCCACTGTAAGATTGTACTAGGTGATACGAAGTTCATGTCACTTAAAATTCAACGGCTGTGGAAGTAGCTCTTTCAGCTTTTCATTAAGTTCAGTTTTGGAAATGTGCACATCTGTGCCATCATTGGGCAGTTATAATTTGGGGATTTAAACACCTGACAGTGATTGACCACTGTGACTTTGCTTATTCTTTTTCTCTCCTCAGTTACCGAGCTGATACCCAGACATACCAGCCTTATAACAAAGACTGGATTAAAGAGAAGATCTACGTGCTCCTTCGTCGGCAGGCCCAACAGGCTGGGAAATAATTGTGTTGGAAGCATGGGGGGGGGTTGGGGTGGGCTTGGAACACAGGTGTGTACAGCGTGCTGTAGTGGAAGTTTTGTATCATAGTAATCCTGTTTCCACTTTGTTATACTCTAGCCAAGATTTACTGTATTGGATGAAATGTGAGGATCTTGTTCAATCGGAAACCCCCGTTACCCCCTCTTTTTTTCTTTTCTTTTCTTTTTTTTTTTTTACTTAAACATTTTTATGATGATTTAGATGAAAGTTGTTCTTCGTCAGTTAATGTTGGTTCCAGTCCTTCAACTGTTCGTATCTACTTTATAACATTCATGTACTAACCCTTCTTCAAGATGGGGTGGGGGGTGGAAATGCAGTTTAGCCATGTCCTCAAGATAAAGTCTTGGTAAAAATAAATAAATGTCCTTTAGTTATATTTTCTCCCTGAGTGCTTTTTTTTTTTTTTTGTCTTTGAACATTGAATTTTCTTGCAAAGCATTTTTTCATTGTAAGTGTAAAAACCAATAGCTGCTACACAAAGAATTTGAAGAAAGTTTAAGTAGTGTGCAACACATTTTGCTGTGATTTATGTGAAGCTAATATACTTTTACCTCACTTTTCCAGCATAATTAAATGAATCTTAATTATAGCTCCAAGGTTTGTACCTACTATTGATGCAAACATTATAAATGACTTTCTGGTGATATAGCTTGTCTGCAGCAGCAGCAGACAGATGAACTTCTTAGTGTTAATCAAATCAAGTATTCTTTCTAGGAGGTCTTTGTGCCCTTTTCAGAGCCTTTAGTTGGATACTAGTTACCCACTACTGTAGAGAAGCTGTAAGGGCAAGGGAAAAACCACAAAAAAGTATAAGATAGTCTTGTCTCTTTTTTTGTTGTTGTTTTTTTTGAGACAGTCTCACTCCATACCCAGGCTGGAGTGTACTTCAATCATGTCAATCGTGTACTTTCAATCAGCAAGTACATGAGCACTCTCTGATTCTGCCATTGTCACTTTACCAACAGCCAGTGATATCTTGACACAGCATAAGATTGAAAGTTTTTTGGAAGGCTCATGATTGGTCTAATATCCCTGTGTTCCTGCCTCTACTTGCACATTAGGGCCTTAACTATTTTGTTGTTTTATGCAAGACAAAATTTTACCTAGAACATACTCATGTGTGCTCAGTTTTTCTATAGAATAACCTGGTTAATGAAATGTTACCACTGTACCAAGAGATTATTACAATTTTAGGGTACCTGACAAAATTAAGTGTAGTTGTAGTTAATGTTTCACTGTGAAACCAACCAAATTTTAAAGCTAAAATAGGCTGGGCGTAGTGGCTCATGCCTGTAATCCCAGCACTTTGGGAGGTTGAGGTGGGCAGATCACTTGAAGTCAGGAGTTTGAGATGAGCCGGACCAGCATGGTGAAACCCTGTCTCCACTAAAAATACGAAAATTAGCCGGGCATGATGGCTCATGCTTCTACTGTCCCAGCTACTTAGGAGGCTGAGCAGGAGAATCCCTTGAACCAGGGAGGCAGAGGTTGCAGTGAGTGAGCCGAGATCGTACCACTGCACTCCAGCCTGGGTGACAGAAAGAGACTCTGTCTCAAAACAAATAAATAAAATAATCTCACAGAAAAAGAAATAGCTCCAAAAGTAATCTGATTGTCCTGTTTCTCATTTGGCCTGTTGTGCTAAAATAGTTTGATTTCTTTAACAAATAGAGGATCTTTGGCTTCATTTATTTTTATTTTTATTTTTTATTTTTTTAATTCTCTGGAGCAGATCTGAAGGGAATGAGATCCCTTGATTCTCAGATGTAGTACCATTTCTGGTGTTGGGCTTCGAGGAAAATGAGAAAGAATGTGAGAAAGTATCTGGGTCCTAGAGGTTGGGTGATGAGAACTAAAAGAAGGGGAGCAGTGTTTGGAATCATTAAAAGCTTAAGGAAGAATAGAACTGAAATAAATACAGAGAAATGTACATTTGTCTATGTCCCAAAATATACAAAGAAAGAGCCTAAAGTAGCCTTTTTGTGAAGGTGACATGTGCAATGAAAGTTTCTGTGGTTTGGCCTAGGTACAACCACTATCCTTGTGTTAGATTTAGAGTGTTGATTGGCCTTTCCCCAACCACAAGTAAAACAGGTTTGATTTCTGCTTATTAAGTGATATTTTATACTGCTACATAAAGGTGAAACCTACCAGACAGATTATAAAATTCCCGATTCTCTAATCCAAATTTATAATCTAAATTTATATACCTGAGAATTTCTAAAATATTTCTTGATAATGGCCATTTCTGTCCTTTAGTGCTTGATTTAAGAGGTCCCAGGAGTATAAAAAGGAGAGTTCAATGATCTCATTTCCCTTCCAGTTCTCTGGCTTAAAATATTTCCAGCAACTCACTAAATGCTTAAACAGGTTATATGTCTTACCTCCCATTGTTGGGATAGAAGTAGTAGTGAACTTTTTTACTTTCAGCAAGAGAATGACTTAAGGGATGAGCAAATAATTTTGTACTGTGCTAAAAGCAGACCAGGCTGGGTTGGGGGAAAGAGGACAGGGTAGTTTTCTTAGTATGATGTCAACTTTACATCAGGATGGTCTTGCTTTATCAAATTGTTTTAACTAATCATTTGAAGGTTGGAATGAAAATCAAGATTAATACATAAATTGATTAATAAATGTTACTATATTTGTAGGGATACCTTTATGTTCATGTTCATTTTATTATTATTTATTTTTTATTTTTTGAGACAGTCTCACTCTGTCACCCAGGCTGTAGTGCAGTGGTGCGATCACGCCTCACTGCAGCCTCAATCTCCCAGGCTCAGGTGATCCACCTTAGCCTCCCGTGTAGCTGGGATTACAGGTGCACACCACCATGGCCAGCTAATTATTTAAATTATTTTTTGTAGAGATGGGGTCTCCTTACGTTGCCCAGGCTGGTCTTGAGATCCTGGACTCAAGTGATCCACCCTCCTTGGCCTCCCAAAGTGTTGGGATTCCAGGCATGAACCACTGCACCCAACTTAGGGATACTATTAGAAGAAATATTAATTTATATGTTAGCATAATGATACTAGTATTGACACTTAGACCTAGCATTTTACTGCCTAGGAAATATTTCTACATCTTTATCATCACAGCAACCCTTTGAGATAGGAAATAATTATATATTAATGGTAAAAAAAAAAAAAAAAAAGAAAGAAAAAGATTTAGATTGCCTAAGTGATTCACCCAGATCACAAAGCAATACCAAAATTTTGCTAGATGAAAAAGACAAGGTTTTAACCTCAAAAACCTTGAAGGGGAGCCTGATAATATGAATAGCTATGCTAAATAATGGACCTCTAATTCTTGTCAAAGGGACCTTTTTAGGCTCAATCAAATATTTGGATTCACAAGACCTGAAGAGGTCACACTTGGCACCAATTTAATCAAAAGAAAACAGCTTGCACGCCCAGCATCATCAAGGGTTTCTCTTCCATGGGAGAAGTCCTCATGGCAGTTCACAGAGCCATCCAAGTACTATCCCCCAAACACACGGAAACGCACAGTAGCTCAGAAGAAGGAGATAAGACTTAGGTAAGTGCAAGAGCTACTCCAACTTAGAAGCTTCATGTACAACAGGAGCCACTAACTCTTGTAATAGCTTCATGGACATAGTTTCTAGGTCCCTGCAAGGAACATGCCCCATTTACAAGAGTCATTGTATTCAGAGAAACACAAGGCCCTGTCTTCCCATCAGGTATTCGTTGTTTCTCCCAGTCTAGGTATAATATGCCTTGTAGGGGCCATGTTTCTCATAAACAGTCTTGTCTAGTAATACACTGCACCATTGTGTTTCCTCAGGAACAGAGCTACAATGTTAACCCAAGTTGACCGCGAGTCAGTGTGTTACGTAATAGTGCAGTGTATTACTAGACCAGATTGCTTATGAGAAGCATGGCCCCTAAGTGGTTACCTTGGGTTAACTTTCTACCTCTGTTCCTGAAGAAACATAACGGTGCAATGTATTACTAAACAGGATACTGATGGAATGATTAACCTTAGAAGAAAAAGTGACATGGAAAGTTGAAAGGGTTTGTGTTAAATGTTCTTAACTCATTAAATGGGTAAAATGAGTTACTATCTTGGAGGAAAGGAGGCTGGGCATAGAATGGGGAGTCAGAACAATTCTCAGAGCTCATACAGGGTGAGGAAACATAATCTGACCACTAGAGTCCTGTGTCACCAAGGGATTCACTGAAGCCTCCAAAAGTGTTATACTTTTGTAATAAGACCAATGGTCCCTTAAGGCTACTATAGACTTACCATAGCAAAGTTTAAAAATGGATCTTAGGCCAGGTGTGGGGGCTCACACCTGTAATCCCCGCAGTTTGGGAGGCCAAGGCAGGAGGATCACTTTGAGCCCAGGAGTTGGAGGCTGCAGTGAGCTGTGATCATGTCACCGTACTCCAGCCTGGATAGCAGAGTGAGACAGTATCTCAAAAGTAAAAAGTATGACAACAATAGTGTAAAGGACAATGGGAGAAATGGAATACATGGTTGAAATGTTTTTTAACGTTGAAGGTAGACTGAAAAGTTAAAGATGTCTATTTGAGGGCCAAGCATGATGGTTAATGCCAATAATCTCAGCACTTTGGGAGGCCAAGGCAGGAGGATCACTTGATACCAGGAATTCTAGACTGCACTTCAGCAACATAGCAAGACCCTGTCTCTACGAAATAAAAATTTAAAAATTAGCCAGATGTGGCATGTGCCTGTAGTCCTAACTACTCAGGAGACTGAGGCAGGAGGACCACTCAGGCCCAGAAGTTCACAGCAGTGAGCTATGATTGCACTCCAGCATGGGCAACAGAGTGAGAACTTGCCTCACAATAAAATAAAGATCTCTATTTGTAAACCCTAGAGAAATTATTAAAAAAAAAAAAAAAAAGAATCCAAAAGAAGGTAGAATATCAGGATAATGTGGAAACCTGGGGTTGGAGGAGTTGCCATGGTAATGCTAACTCTCACCTTCATCTATAGGCTTTTGTTGTGGAGTATCTACTCTGTGCCAGGACCCCAGAACAAAGAACAGGTGGGAAAATAGATAACAAATAGCAATATGGTAAATTCAGACTCAGTCACTAATAATTTCATTAAATATAAATGGTCTAAACACATCAACGAAAAGACTAGGATTGTCAGACTGGATCATGAAGCAAGGCACCACTATATGTAGTCTATAAGAAATTCACTTTACATGTTAAGACAGGATAAAAGTGAAAAGGATGAGGAAAATATGTCATGCAAACACTAAGCATTAGAAGCAGGAGTGGCCATACTTAATATAAGGCAAGGAGACTTTATAACAAGGAATAATACCAGAGAAGAAGGGGGATGCTTTGTAATGAT